ACATATTTTTACACAGAAGTTTAGAAATCTAACTCTATATAGCATTGTAGCAGGGCAGTCCTGCAACATCTCTTTTCTTGTCTCCTGCCCTCATTCACCACCCTCTTCCTTTTTAAACAAACATCTACCTGAAAGACAGCACGGCAGCAACTCGTGTGTCAAGACAAGCAGCACATATTTAGAAGACCAGAATGACAGGCACTCCAAGCATGAACCTACTATTACACATTGCCATCTTCAGTGCAGTTGCTCAGTTCACAGGTGTCAGTATATATAGTCAGACTGAGAATCCTACCAATTAACTGCTAGTTTCCAACACATGCTGAAGATTCTCAGGATCTTTGCCTTGCCCATCTTGTGCATATAAACATGGCATTGCCTCTGTCATGTTTCCTAGCTTTTTTCCTTGCTCTCTCTTCATTGTCTAATGCTCAAGTTCCGGTTTTTCTTTTAATTGTGTTATACTTTTGTATTTGTATTTCTTCTTCTGAGTTGTTATACTAGGGAGACTATACTATATTTACACATAGGTCTGGTTTATTTCACTTATATCTTCAAGTGGCGTCCACTTAAATATGAAGTTTTCGAGTTTATCATTCTTTATAGCTGAATAATACTCCATGGTATAAAAATACATCTTTTTCATCCATTCCTCAGGTGACAGGCATCTTGGAAACAACCAAGAAGTTCAGTATATTTATATTTGCCCAATGAATATATTTGAGTATGTTTTTATGGTTTTATCTTATGTGTGTATGTGTGTGTGTCAGGAATCAAACTCACGACCTTCCCTTGCTAGGTAGGCACTTGTGCCACTGAGCTGTCTCCCCAGCTATAGTTCTGTCTTGTGCCTCTTACCCCTCCTTCATGTGTGGCTTTTTTTTCCCCATAAATAGAACTTTATTTATCACTATTGAAAATCTGGATCTTAAGCAGACTCTGGACTGGTGGTTCATATCCATCAGCTCATTCAACTCTAGCTCCATTCTCATCTTCAGTAGCCTTTCCAGAGCTACTACCTTCACCGTGAAGCTCCACGAGGTTTCCCAATTCAAACTTGGGCTTCTTCAGCATTTTTACTTTTCTGACGAAGACATCATGAAGGGGGTAGATAGACTGGCAAGCCTTTTCTATGTCTTTCCCAGTGCTGTCTGTAATCAATTCATTGACCACTTCCTTCAAGTCATTTGTCTGCACCTCCCGGGTCATGATTTCCATCACCTCCTTCCGGATCTGGCGGACCTGCTGGTGCTGAGCGTAAGAGGTCTTCCATATCTGGTTGTTGCATTTTTTAGTAAAGCCAACACAGAACAGTCAAAGCAAATAACCGTCGGTGGTCTTGACATCAACATGAGCTTCGATCATGGCCTGCCATTTTTTGACCACGGAACACATTTTGTCACGGGGAAGGTCCATGCCGTGGAAGTTAGTCAGGCAGCTTTTGCCCTGAACATCTGCAGTAATTAGCTTGAATTTTCTAAAGGCAACTTCATCATTCTGCAGATCAGCAAGGCTCACTTCAAACACACGACCTTTGAGCCCATCAGATGCAATTTTGGGTCCTTGAATTCTGGTGATATTTCTTATGTTGAACATAGCTGGTATCTTCGCATCATACCAGTCTTTTTTAGAAAGTGGATCAGCCACTTTCTTCTTGGCTCCTTTTTTGCCACCTTTCGTAAGGCACATCTACCGCCATGGTGCTGCTCAGAGAGCCAAAAGGGCAGAAGTATATATAACTTGGGAGAATTTAGGCTTATGGGGCAGGGCTCATGCGTGGTTTTTGCATTCATGAAATTGTGACGCCAAGTTTCATATGATGTAATATTTATAATTTCCACTCTGTTTATGTCTGATACATATTTAAGTGGCATATTTCTGGTGTTTTTGGTTGCTGTTTTTTGTTTGTTTTTTGTTATTTTTGAGGTGGGGTTGCAGTATGAGGTTGAGGCTGGCTTTGAACTCAGTGTGTATCCTAGGCTGGCCATGAGCTCCAAGTGCTTTTGGCTCAGCCTCCCAAGTGCTGGGGTCGCAGGTGTGCACCACTGTGCACGACCTAATATTTCTGTTTTTTAATCTACATACATTCTCGGTATTGTGATATTGTATTAATTCTGTTAGTTTTCTGGTGCTACTTTAATTTTTCCAGCATACGTCATGAGGTTATTTGTAAGTGCGCACTGTTTTATATTTTCCATCTTATTCACTGCCAGTTTTTTGTTTGTTTTTTCCTTTGTTTCATCTATAATCCATTGAAATTGTTTTAGGACTTTTAGCCTCTAGATTTTGTTGTAGTGGATTACATTAATTATTACATAATGGCTCTGGGCTGGCTATATAAAAGCTCAGCTGATTAAAGTGCCTGCAGGTGCAGGGGCCAGAGTTAGATCCCTGGGCCTGCCTTGCCGGCCCCGCCCCTGGGGCATGCTGAGACTCAGGATTGAGACTGGGCGTGGTGGTGCGTGCCTGTAATCCCAGCTCTTGGGAGGCTGTAAGTAGGTGGATCACTATGAGTCTGATCTAGTAGTGAGACCCTAAACACCCTGTAGACCCTTCCTTAAAATACAAAAAAGAAAAAAATAAGTAATGGCTCTAATACTTTTCATAAGTTCTTCTCTATTATGATGTATAGTCTGCATAAATATTGAATAATGAAACGTCTTTTCTGTGCAATAATTATTTTTATTTTGCAAGGTTTTTTTTTCTAATTTTCTGAGTTGATATTGTTCTTTTCTAATATATATGTTCATTGTTTTAAATTTGTTTTGATGCTTTCATTTCTGGGCCTCTCAAATAAGACTCTCAACTTCTGGCAATGTCAGAAGTTGTTGACTTGAGCCTTTTACAGCTCAGCCTATTAATATGGCTTTACATTTGATACTTCGTTTTTATACTTTTCTGCTGGATGGTTAAGAAAAAGATAAAGCAAGACCTATAAAACAAGAAATGTAGCTTTTGTATCTGATAAGGTCAGTCAGATCACCTCAGGATTTAACCTGAAATCCTGTACCACAGTTTGTAGATCCTTTATCAATGTCAGCCATGTGGATGAGTTACGGCCATTGCTTAGCCAATGTGTTCTCTGTGAAAACCTGAGAGAATGTTTTCTCTCCATGTGGACTCTCCTTAGGCACACTCTACATCATTGATCACTTTCCTCTGTGGCCCCGTAATCTCCTTGATCAGAAAATTTGGGACACAACTGAGTTACATGATGTTCCAGTACAGGTTCTCCTGTGTGCTGAGCCTTCACTGACCTTGAAAGACTAGGGCCAATATGTTGGCTGTCCTTGCAGCCCTTCTTTTTCTCTAATTTTTGGTCTGTAAACTTAGGTTGTTAACCCTCCAGAACAGGAGCTTATTGTTTTTACCCTATAACATATGCAGTTGAGCCTAACCTCACTATCTGTCTGAATATCAAACATTTAGGTATAACATGGAACAGGTATTTTTCATCAGGTATTAATATGTTAAACTTTAAGTCCCTACACAATATGAAGGAAAAAAATTAAAAAAATAATATATTTAAAAATATATGAATAAACAGTTACATATTTTTACACAGAAGTTTAGAAATCTAACCCTATATACAGCATTGTAGCAGGACAGTCCTGCAGCACCCCTTTTCCTGTCTCCTGCCTTCATTCACCACCCCCTTTCCTTTTTAAACAAACATCTACCCGAGAGACAGCACGGCAGCAACCATCGTGCCATGACAAGCAGCATGTATTCAGAAGACCAGAATGACAGGCACTCCAAGCATGACCCTACTATTACACATTGCTATCTTCAATGCAGTTGCTTAGTTCACAGTTATCAGCATATATAGTGATTCAGGGTGAGAATCCTACCAATTAACTGCTAATGTCGAAAACCTGCTGAAGATTCTTAGGATCATTGTCTTTGCCATCTTGTGCATATAAATGTATAGCTTTTCCCGTCATGTTTGCCAGCTTTTTTCTTGCTCTCTCTGCATTGTCCAATGCTCAAGTTTTGCTTTCCTTCTAATTGTGTTATACCTTTCTATTTGTATTTCTTCTTTTGAGTTCTTATACTAGGGAGACTATACGATATTTACACATGTGTGTCTGGTTTATTTCACAGTATATCTTCAAGTGGCATCCCCTTAAATATGAAGACTTTGAGTTCATCATTCTTTATTTGCTTTGTATTCTTGCCAGCCTTGGATTTACAAGGTAGTCATAGTGAACATTGAACTCATGGCAATCCTCAGATTCATGGGAATCCTACACCAGCCTGCAAGGGCTGCAGTATCTGCCATGTACCACCACACTGTGCTGAAGCTTTCTTTCTGTATGTAGTGACCAGTTACTTTGTGGTTTTTATTGCATTTGTCATATTTCTTTCATAGTCTTACCTTAGTTACCCTTCCTTACACCGTCATTTCTTTTATATCTGAGTGCGTGGTCATCCTATGGTGTCACTGAGCTCTAAGATGATAATTGTGCCATACTTCCCTTATTTTCATCTTCTATAAATTTGTTTCAATACATGTTTCTGCTAGCATTTTAATAATTATACCAAAACCTTGTCTAATGTTCAATTCAGTATTTTTTTTTTTATGAAACCACATTTGAGTAGTAAAATATTGTGTAAGGACAGAGACAGTCTCAATGCTATGAATAACCAGATTTGAAAAGAGATGTAATTTGTGGTCTGTCAGAATCATTCATTAGGCATTTATCTTCCTCTGATTGTTGGATGGTAAATTACAGATTCCATGCGTGAGTTCTGCTCTACAGGCGGGGCACAAACGCAGTGTAGGTGACCTGCAGGACAACCTGTGCTGCTCCCCTGCTGTTGCTCTGGCAACATGCTGCTTTCCAGCAACAGGCTTCCTGGGTGAAAGTATTTGCATGTGTTTGATCACCAAGGTGTGTAAATATGTGAAAGAATAAATCTTAGTTCAGCTTTCAGTGAGAGGATTTGAGGTATCCCAGGAAATGAGTCTGACCCTCCAGAAATGTGTCATTGTTTAGGAGACAGTGACCTTTGAGGATGTAGCTGTGCATTTCACTACGGCAGAGTGGGCTTTGCTGAATCTGTCGCAAAAGAAGCTGTACCAAGATGTGATGTGGGAAACGTTTGTGAATATGACTGCCATTGGTAAGGACGATTTCCTTTTCTTATTTATACAAGTGTAGAGCATTCGTTCTTGCTAACTGATAAAGAGAATGTTATACCATTTACAAGAATATCTCAGGCCTAGGGCTAGGAGATAGCTTGTTGGTCTAAGTGCCTGCCTGGCGAGTGCAAGGACCCAGGTTCAATTCCTAGTACCCTATGCCCTGCCGGCCCCAAAATCAGGTGTGTTGGTGCATGCCTGTGATCCCAGCACTGCAGAGGCTGACATAGGAGCATTGCTATGAGTCTGAGCTGCACAGTGAGATCCTGTACCAAATAAGTAAATAAATAAGTAAAGATTTAAATAAAAAAAAAAAAAAAAAAATCTCAGGCCTGATTTCATTATGCCAGGAATCTAAGTGGAATCTATTCATTTTTTTCTTAATGATATAGTGACATTTTATATTTCCATATCTATAATTCAGGAGGAACACCGAATAACCAGCAAATTGCAGAAGAGTGCAAAAATTGCTCAAGAAATCTAAGGTAATGTGTTCTCATAAGCAAAAGGAATATTCGTCAGGAGTCAGTGTATGAGCAGATATGTTACAGCCATGGAAACTGAAAACATGAGGCCATGTTCAAATTATTTCTTTTTAAATTTTATGTATACTTTTCAGACAGGGTCCTGCTGCATAGTCTGGGCTGGCCTTGAACTTGCAGAAATCCTCTTGCTTATTCTCTCAAGTGCTGGCATTACAGTTGTGCACCACCATGCCTGGCAGGCTCCAGTTTATTTCATCTCACAGAAATTTGCAGACCCATACAGGTTGATTTTGTATAATCTGACAAATATAAAAGTATTCCAATATAGAAAACTAAGGTAGTACTAATACTATGTAACATGTGACACTATTCACTATTGGCAGTATAAATAAATTCTTTCATAATCACTAGCATGGAAATGTATGAAGTTGTACCTAAGTATCATGTATAGGCATATATGAGAAGAGTATAGTTGGAATTTTGACAGGAATTCAGCTTCAAAAGGTCTATGGCTATGTGTTCATATGCGACATTCATTACCTAGTAAATGCTAACATGGAAGCAGTATTCAAAGTGCAGTTGAGTGCTAGTGTGGGCATTATAGATGTTTGCAAAACTTCCCCCAGAAATTTGAAAGGGCAAGTCATATAGCTCAGGGAATGCCTGCAAGCAGGAGCAGTGGTGGGGATTCGATCCTTGGACTTGCCATGCTGGCCCCATCCTCGGGGCACATTGAGACTGTGATTGAGACTGGGCATGGTGGCGCACGCCTGTAATCCCAGCACTTGGGAGGCTATAAACAGGTGGATCACTTTGAGTCCACTCCAGTAATGAAACCCTGAACATCCTGTAGACCCTTCCCTAAAATACAGGAAAAAAAAAAAAGAGAGAGAGCTGCTTGTATCTTAAACTGCTTAGAAAGCAGCCTCATATTTTATGTTGTTGGCAGTGTAAAATAGAACCATAATGTTAATCAATATATAGGTGCTTCAAAAGTAAAAATAGAAGTTTTCATTTGATCTCCATGTACCTCGGGTATATTCTGAAGTGAGTTGAAGTCAGCAAATTTTAGTGACTTGTTTCATGATGCTCAAAGTGGACATGCTTAGGCATTCACAGCACCTAAGCTCTGGGAAGAGCCTCGATTCTCACACTGGATGCAGGATAAAAGAAAGGGTGGGGTCGGCTCAGCATGCTGAGCTCTCTTGTGGTGCCGGTACTTTGGGAAGTCAATTCCACAACATGACAACTTAAAGTTCAAACAAAGTTGTTTTAGGTTATTTAAGTGTATTGGTACATTTTAGGTATGCATATCGTACTTAGTAGGGGTACCTGTACATGGTATATCTTGATTCTGCTTTTTTCAGATTCTTATCCCCTCCCTTCAAATTCCCTTTCCCTGCCCATTCACAAAGCTTTGTTTTCATTTTACTCTTTTTAAAATACCTTTCTTTTCTCCTTCCTCCTACTTACTTTCATTTTCCTTCTGAACAGTTTTTTCCTATTTCATGTTTATTGTATATGTTGGGTTTTATTTAAATTTTCAGTTTCTCACTGCAGAGAGATAATATATTTACAAGTGTGTCCAGTGTACTTCACTTATGATTTTATTCTTGTTGTCCACCCATTTATCTATAAATGTCTCAATCTTGTCCTCCTTTTTGAGTAATACTTCATATAAAAAGAACATCTTTTTGTCTTTTTAGGTTTTAAATATTTTTTGTACAAGATAACTTTATTTACCTTGATATAGCACATCTTTTTTCTTGTTAATATCTTCCGTGGTTAATGGACATTTGGGTTGTTTCTAAGATGTAGCTATTAGAAGTTGTGCTGTCATAAACATGGGTGCACATATATCTCTGTGGTTGATGCTTCTAATTCTTCTGGGAAGACACCCAGATGGGACCACTGATCTGAGTTTTTTGATGAATCTCCATGCTGATTTCCATATTTGGAAATCACCAGCCTACACTCCCACCAGAAATGGAAATGTGTTCCTTTTTTCCCACAGCTCCTCCAGCATTTCTCATTCATTATTTTCATGCAAATAGACAGAGTGAAATGGAATCACAGCCTTGTTTTAATTTGCATTTCCCACATGACCCGTGTTGTTTAACATTTTTTCATGTATTTATTTGCCATTTGTACCCCTTATGGGAAGTGTGTATTCATTTCAGATACCCGTGTTTGAACTGGATCTTTGGATTTGGAGGGTCTGATTTTCTTCAGTTCTTTATATTTTTTAAGTATTAGTCCTTTGTGTGAAGAACAGCAAGCAAAAGTGTTTTTTCCACTTCGGGTTGCCTTTTCACTTTGTTGGTGATTTCTTTTGCTGTAAAGAAGCTTTTTAATAATGCAGTTTTTCACGTTGATTCTTTGTGATGTTTCCCGTGTGAAGAGAGATTTGTTCATATAGTCTTTGTGTATGCCTATGTTTTCCAGAGTTCTGCCTGTTGTATCTTCCAGCAGATTTAGTGTTTCTGTTTTACTATTTGGATTTTGATCTTTCACAATTTTAGTTTATTGCATGGTGATAGACATGGGTCTAGTTTTAGCCTTCACTGTGTGGAAAACCAGTGTTTGCAGAACCATTTATTAGATAGGCTGTCTTTCTTTAGTGCATGTTTGGCCCCGTTGTCGAGATAAGGTGGCTGAGTTTTTTGTAGTTGTGTCTGCATTTTCTGATCTGTTCTATTGGTTCTCTGGTCTGCTTTTTTTTTTTTTTTTTTTTTTTGCTAGTGCCATGCTGATTTTAATCACAGCATTTTTTGTAGTATAATTTCAAGTCAGTGATTGTGATACCCCCTGACTTGGCATTGTTACCTAGATGGCTTTAGCTATTGCTAGATCTGTTTTGGTTCCAAATGAATTTCAGGTATATTTTCTGTAGTTCTATGAGGTGTGCAAATGGTATTTTGATTGGGATTGCACTAAATCTCTGGGAGTGTGGCTGTTTTCATCATGTTGGTTCTTTCTATCCAGAAGCAAGGGATATTTTTCCATTTTTTGATATCTTTCTTGGTCTCCTTTTTCAGAATACTGAAATTTCAATATAGAGGTCTTTTACTTTTGCTAGACTGATTTCCTAGGTGTTTGTTTGTTTGTTTGTTTGTTTGGATGCTATTATGAAGAATGTTTCCCTGATTTTTCTCTCAAAAAGTTTGTTACTAGTGGATAGAAACGTTACTGAGTTGTGAGTATTGACTTTGTTTCCAGCTATATTGCTGAATTCGGTTAATAAATATAGGAATCTTTTGGTGAAATTTTTGGGATCTTCTGTATAGAGTATCATGTTATGCACAAATAATGATAATTTACCTTCATCATTTCCTATCTTCATTTTATTTATTTTTTTTTCTCTAATTGCTCTGGCCAGTGTCTCCAGAACTATACTGAATACAAGCAGTGGTACTGGGCACCCTTGACTTATTCCTGATTTTAAGCGAAAGGTTTGAATTTTTTGCCATTTAGTATGATGTTGGCTATTGATCATCTATTCTGATTTCTTTAGGGTTTTTTTTTTTTTATCATGAATGAGTGTTGAACTTTTCAAAAGCTTTTTTGATATCTATTGAGATGATCATGTGAGGCTTTTTATCCTTGGTTATATTGATACATGCATTACATTTATTGACTTAACAAATGTTAAATCATTCCCGTGTCCCTGTGATGAATCCCACTTGGTCATGGTGTATCATCTTCTTGATGATTTGATGCACTCCTGTTTGCTAGTGTCCTAATGAAGATTTTTGCGTCTATATTCATTAGGGAGGTTGGCCTGCAGTTCTGTTTTTTGGCTGGGTTCTTCTCTGGCTTTGGTATTAGGGTAATACTTGCTCCCAGAAGTGAGCTTGGGAGTATGGCTCCCTCTTCAGTTTTATTAAAGTGTTTGAGGAGTAAATGCATTAGATCTTCTCTGAATTTTTTGTAAAACTCAGCTGTATATCCTTTGGGACCTGTTCTTTTTTGGTAGTTTTTTAATTACACTTAATTTCATTGAGGAATAGTGGGTTACTTAGAATTTTTATATTGATTCAGGTTTGGTATTTCATATGTATTTAGGAATCTATCCATTTCATCAGTGTTTTCCATTTTATTAAAATAAAGGTTCTTGAAGTAAATATCTATGATCTAGATTTCTGCAGGATTTGTTGTGATTTTACTCTTTTCATTCCTAATTATGTTGAGTCCTTCCTCTTTTTGATAGTTTTTGCTAAGGGTTTACCAATTGGATTTAATCATACAGAGAACCAGTTGTCTTTGAGTCTTTTTTTTTTTTTTTTTTTTTTTTT